TTTTTACGAGAATGTCATAGATAGGTTTGATTAACTTATTAGACTAGGTAGGTATTACTACTAGGTAGGTCTCCCACTTGTCTTTTGACAAGGTAGGTCTCCTACTTGTGATTTATTATCGTTAGCTGGCTTTTTGATACATGAATTCAATACTGCATCACATACATATAATATACTGTCAGCATCTCAGCCATTCTTTATTGATTATATTAAATGTGTTTTAAATCGATTATAAATATGCTATGATTGCTATCAGAAAAACACTGGACGAAAAGGGGGCAAGTTGGATGCTCTATGGACTGGTCCTTACTGGTATTAAGTAAAACAGTGAAACAGTTACAGTAAGTCTCCCACAAGACAAAATGATACTGCCTGGTTTTTTGGGAAGGGGGAAACAAAGATGAAGGACCTGGCTTGTGAACCCATAGAATGATACTGTTCGCAAGAAACAGATCCGACACTTTCTATGCAAAGTCATTTGAATATATTACTTTATTTAGGATTGTTGAAATCGATAACCACCAAAGGATCCAACTGGCCCATATCAAAAGCGGGGAAACGTTAAAAGTGAAAGTCGCATATGATCAAATCCGTCCACATGTTACAAGTGATCTTTATAAACCGGTGGTGCCTGAAGTATCTATTAATCCTGACCCAAGCAGCTGCACAGATATAACAGACAATGATGTTCCCAGCAATCAGTCTGCTGTTCCTTGTCCGATAAAGAATTCCCAAGACAGTCCTACGTCTGCTGTTAAGTCTTTAAAGGAACATGAAACCAGTGCTACCAACATTCCCAACAAAATGGATGAAGACATAAAAATTGTGGGATATACAAAAGCTAGAAAGAGGAAAGTTGGGCCAGTGCCTGTCAAAAAAGTAAACCTGATGAAGAACAATACACAACTTCTCCCAGACATTCAGAATGGTGAATGGTTATCAGATGAACATATTGACCATGCACAGGCCATGCTTGCAAAACAATTCCCTGATATTGGTGGCTTGCAGGTTGTCTGCGTATTTGCTCCCGAAGGTTGTCAACAAGTTGGAACACCTGAGCAGAGTTTTGTCCAAGTTTTAAATGTTGGTGGTAACCATTGGATAATAATTAGTAATGTCGGCTGGCCAAAGGACTCAGTTGTCATCTATGACTCTTTGTACAATAACATTAATGCCTCGTGTAAGCAAAAAGTTTTGAGACAAATTGCCTACATGCTTATGCCTGTGTCTAAACACATGACGTTATTGTGGGCAGACATGCAGAAGCAAGAAGGGACATCCGACTGTGGCTTGTTTGCCCTTGCAGTTGCAACCAGTCTGTGCTGTGGTGGCTTACCGAAAGATTGTGATTGGCAGCAAGAGGAAATGCGTGGACATCTGGTGAAGTGCATTGAAGCTGGTGTGATATCGTCTTTCCCAATGTCTAACACTAGTCGAAATCACCAACTTTACCACAGCAGCGAAGAGATTGACATATATTGCCATTGCAGACAACCATACAGAGAGAACATTTTTATGGTTCAGTGTGACAAGTGCCTGGACTGGTTTCATCGTGGTTGTGAAAGAGTGCCAAGAGTTGTTAAAAAGAATACATGTTTCTTTTGTAAAAACTGTAAATAGAAAGAATTACTAGTGACGTACAGGTACAGTTCATACTAGTGACGTCTATTCAGTTGATTATTGGTGTATACAATGTATATATTAGATTTACAGCTATAGAAGAATTACCAAAGAATATATTGACAATGTTTTTCACCTTGCTTTTGTGAGTAATTTATTCAAAGTATGCCCGTAGACTGTAGTTTTAATAGCATAATCCTATTTACAATTCTCGTAAACGGATGTATTATTATTTGGAAAGGACAAATATTTCAAGCACAACAAATTCACTCAGCACGACATTTTCAGCATGATGCCCTAAATTCTATTAATGTTCGACAAATTTGGCTTGAACATTTAAACAACTTTCGTAAACTCTAAAAATTAATTTGAAAAGGATAAAAATTTTGGCAATCTGCCAATCCCAGACTCAGTACAACAAATTCAGCACGACATTTTCAGCACGATGATGTTCTAAATTCTGCTAAGATTTGAAGATTTATACAATTTCCGTAAATTTTTATAATTTATTTGGAAAGGATATTATATGCTTGTGATTTTATTCTGAGTGTGGCCACTGGCCACAAACATATATCTACACCCGAGAGTTGAGTGCATATATAAACACCAGGCATAAATTCAGGATAAATATTTCTACAATCTCAGCTGATTCTGGCGGCACAACAAATTCAGCACGATGCCCTTGGCTAATCGATAAATTTGGCTCTGAAATTTATACAATTTCTCCTAAACTCTTAAAAGATCACATAAAACCTATGTGGAACGATATTAAAATATTTCAGCACGGCATTTTCAGCACGACATTTTCAGCACGACATTTTCAGCACGACAATCTCAGCACAATGTCCTAAATTCTGCTAAGATTCGAAAAATTTGACCCTAAAATTTATATGATTTCCGTAAATTCTTATAATTTATTTGGAAAGGATAAATATATGCTTGTGATTTTACTCTGAGTGTGGCCGCACATATATCTACGGTACACCCGAGAGCTGAGTGCATAACACCAGGCATAAATTCAGGATAAATATTTCTACAATCTCAGCTGATTCTGGCGGCACAACAAATTCAGCACGATGCCCTTGGCTAATCGATAAATTTGGCTCTGAAATTTATACATAAAACCTATGTGGAAACGATATTAAAATATTTCAGCACAACAAATTCAGCACGGCATTTTCAGCACGACAATCTCAGCACGATACAATTTCAGACCGCCGTACCACGTGCTGAGATTGCATGCTACACTTGGAGCATGCGCAGTAGTACTAGAACAATCTCAGCACGAGGACAATCTCAGACCTCTACACCGGAAAAGCAAGGAAGTCACTCTGACTCTGTCAATGAAAATATCCCTTCTAATTCCCAATTATCCTCTGTAATCTCTTCGCACACTTGTTATTCTGAATAAATATTAAACAATGCTGTTAACGGTTGTTCGAACAACTAAAAACAACTTGTTCTTTCATCAATGTCTTTAACGCCTGTTCGAACAATATTGTAGACGCCTGATGAATGAACAACGGTGAACAACATTGTTCTGACAACATTTATCAAGCATGTTTCATCAGTCTTGTCAGATGCTTGTTCCATCCTGTTGCAACAACCATTGTTCGTTCATCAAGCATATGAACATGCAATGTCAATGTTGTTGGAACAATGTTGTTAACGATTGTTGCTTGAACAACGTTGTTCAGCCATGATAGCAACATTGTTTAGGCATTGTTCAATGAACAATGCCGAACAAACCTGATTGGGTTGGGTAGGAACAAACCTAAAAATTGATCAGGTTGATGCAATATTGTTTGCTGAACAAGGTATGATCAATATTGTTATTGTGATTGAACAACGTTGATTAAATGTCAACACTGATCAATATTGTTCTATCAGCATTATTGTTTGCTGCTGATGATTGAACAATACTGTTGTGTTGCTGTTGGAACAGGCGCCGACAATATTGATAAAACAACATTGTTGATTGTTGTCGGAACAACGTTGTTCAGCATTGTTAAATCATCATGAGTCAACAGTGTTGCTTTAATGCTTTAATGAAATACTCCTAAAACAGTATTATACTACACTAGGAGGAAAAAGAACAAGAACAAGTGTGAACAATATTGATTGATGAACAACTTGTTTTTAGTTGTTCAGACAATAAATACCATTAGTATAAATTTTGCATATCAAATGAGCTTTCGCACGTTCTGATTGGCTAGCTGACTAGTAAATCTGATGCATTATTTACCACCTGGGTAGTAAATAATGCTTTTCAAAACAATGATTCGGCAAATTTGGTTTCAAAATCGACAAAATATTGAAAAAATCGTCCCCAGAAAATGAAAGAAGCACAAAATGTTGTATTTAACTAGAAAGGTAGGATTCCTTTATTATTTTACTGTGTCAAACATATTCACAGACAATTTAAAACTTATTTAAAATTCTGAAACATTCACTTCAAACAAATAGCAAAAACCATTGCGACTTTTGGGAAAAACCTTGCCGTGATATTCTTTAAAATCCATTTTATTTTGTATGCTATAGATTTCCCAATTTGTACAATACTATTTCTTTTGATATGTCATGTTTTCATTGTGCTGTATGGTGTTCTGACCACTGTATTGTGTTTTCGAAACTTGTAAAGTAAAAAGTGTTATTAAAACTTTATTTCGAATGATATAGTTTTACATTTCATTTTACCAAATTCCTCAGCCATTTCCTGAAGAAATTAATGCCAAACAGAAACTATTTTTAATTGTAAATCTGGTGAAAGAGTCATTCCGTTATTGTGTTTATATTCCAAGCAGAAATCGAGAAAAACAACTTTGTAATAAAGCAATATAAAAGTCACACAAGAAGCCATTTTGAAAGCGTGTGCGTACAAGCAAAGTCTTTGGTACAAGTAACACTGCAACACTATTAGTGAACGGCTGAAAACAGTTTTATTTCTGACATTTAATTGAACTGATATTCGGATATTTTGCTTTATTCATTAAAAATTTATACTAAAACAATTATTCGCCTCAGGCTCAGTGATTACAGTGAATATTCACCTCGACTTCGTCTTGGTGAATATTCCCCGCTAATCACTTAGCCTTCGGCGAATAATTGTTAAATATCCAGTATACTGCTAAATGTTAATGGCGGATTGGCTCAGAAACTCTTTTTTTTTACAAATCTTATTTGTACTGTTTAATTAATTATCGTAAATCATGGTAAAAACTAACCGAAAATATTTCAAAGTTACACGTAAAACTATAAATTCTGGAAATTAATGCTATAAAATTTACATGCATTATAAGATATATTTACCGATATCACAGGCAGCGTCTCATTTCACTTGTGTATTTACAGAAATTAAATTCATATTGCAAGTAAAAAATTAATAGCAATTACTCCATTGACGTAGATTGCATGCGTATATAGAATGCACACCCTTACATTTTTTCATGTGTATATATTTTTTTAAGTCTCACTGTATCAACTTTAACTGGTAAACTGAGTAGTCTATATGGGGTAGTATAATACTATATACATAGGTGATAACTTATCACTGATAATTATCAATCATTGACCTGTAATGAGGGGTATTCAATAAAACATTACCCCTATGGACAAAACGTTTCATTTCAAGGGGTAATTTTTTCTGGAATACCCAAAGTGAAATGTTAACAACCAACATATTACAATCTTTGTTGGCTAAAACCAGTTTCAAGCAGGCTAGGCTGGATCGATGGTAACTTTTAAGGTCAAAGGTCAAGTCGAAGGTTTTATGGAATGGAATTATCCCCTGACCGTAGAGGGTAATTCGACTTTCAATCCCATCTTCACATGGTATAAATTTAACTGTGTCATTGGACCATGTGTAATACTCACTCAAGTTCTGGTAGAGATGAGAGTAATAATTAACAGGTGCTATAGGGGGAGATGCAGAAATAGGGGTATTATTATGTGGATTATTATTTGTGTATAATCTGAACACTCTATACCAGATGGGCCTGAATGGCTGCTTGAGGAATCACGAAAAATAGAACTACATTTAATGTCTGTCCCTTGCTGTATGTCATAATTAAAGCTTGTATTTAAGAAATAGAAAACGAGTCGCGTGCGTTTATGGTGTGATAATGCACATGGGGAATGTTGGGAGAATACGAGAGAAGTGTGTAAAACACGAGGCGTAGCCAAGTGTTTTACACACTTCTCGAGTATTCTCCCAACATTCCCCAAGTGCATTGTCACACCATAAACGCACGAGACGAGTTTTTCTATTTCTTTTATAATATAAGTAGAAGATATTACATAGTAAACAATTTTACTCAAAAGATCGACGTTGAAATTCTCCTAACATGTAATCAGTCACGTCACACACATTCTTTTACTGTCGCTTGTATTTTTAAGCGAGCGAAGGAGAAAAATTGCCAAAGCAATACACAAACTTTTGATGCTATAAAGCCGGAAAAATTGTTTAAAATAGTGGAAATAAAAAAGCAGTGACACACAGACTAATTTGCCAAAGTTTTTCAGCATCTGGGCTGCTGGATTTGCCATGAAAGACGGTAAATCGTAGGTATCGTCGTGTTTATTACTCAGTTTTAATTTTCGAAATTATTGTATTTTTTGTCTTTCGCCAAACATATATCCAGCAGTTATTATCAGAAGAATTGAAGGTACTTTCTAAATCACTTATACGTTTTTGTTGCCTTTTTGTATGTATTTGGTCTATTTGCTTTTTCCAGTTTTTTTCTCGACTATTTTGTACGCTTTTTACCCAAAACTTGTTGAGACAACAACAAATTCGACGAATGCCAAGCCAGTTAATTTTATAAGTAGAACTATATAAAATTGCTTTGTTCCTTTGGTTTACTCCTTCTTGCTTTCTGGTAAATTTTGTATTTTAAAAGCTCTATAATTTTGTGTATAATTTTGGCTAAAAAGCAGTGATGAAGAGGGGGAAAAACAGAGAAAGAGCAAAGCAGTGCCACAGATCACAGTGCATTATTGCG